ATCTCCACAGACAATGGAACAACAAAAAATATTGAAAACCCACAAGCATTGTGAAATTAAATATATTAGAAACGTGTGCTTTCTCTTTTTTTCCATTTAAGCAGACTGAGCCACAGCAACTCATGGCGGGTACAGCTAGTATAGATATAAAATGGGAGTTGCTCGGGAGTTACACTGGGGAAGTGGCTCGGGGATGTTGCTTGGGAGAGTTGCACGGGGGAGTTGCTCGAGAGAGTTGCTCGGGATAGTTGAATGGGGGGGAGTTGCTCGGGAGAGCTGCACGGGGAGCTCATTCTCTGTGAACCATAAATAGTCCACTAGATTTTGATTATAGTCAAGTAGTGTGTAGAGTTGTTGTGTTGGCGACAGGCAGTGTCGTGACTGGTTCTGTGGTGACTAGAACTATGGTGACTGGTGCTGTGGTGACTTGTAGAGACTCGTAGTGTAGTAGGGTGACTGGCAGTGATGTGGCTGGTGGTATAGTTATAGTGACTGGTAGTATGGTGAGTGGCTCTGAGAGATGTAAAACACCAGCTAGCTTAAATGTGTGGTGGAAAGTGCACATTGCCATATATTATGAAACGAAGTTATACCTTGTCGGGTATCTGGAGACAGCAGATGTCATCAGCTGCAATGAAACATCGCGATGGCCGTCGTGGCGGTATTCATAAGGAATATACAATTAATGTATTGTACATTACAGTAGAAACCCTAAGGAAGCAAATATCTAGTTATAGAGTTTGGTGATAGTGAGAGAGCTTGTGGTCTGAGAGGGTCGGTTTCCTCAACTGTCTCCCCTCCCTGTCTGGCTCATTGTTGCCATGAGGGGGCTTGGTGGGCGGCTGCCAGAGTGTGATGCTCCATGGGACACTCCTCTGTCCTTTTGTGGCCTTATACTCCTGCTGCTGTCCTCACTAATTTTGCTGGACAACTTTTCGTTTTTCTCTCCCCCCACCCTCTTCTCCTTTCTAATTGTCATTTCCTGCTGACCTTGTGCCTGTTTTGATCATTCTTTTGGCCATCTTTTGTTTTGACGCCCGGGTGTTTGAGGAGGCATCTTCTTGCACCTGTAGAACTGTAGTACCCAATGTCTCGAGCGAGGGGAACCTTTTATTGTCAATCTGCCTTTCGTCACTGAACCCGATTTTGACGGACTGACAGTTCTTAAGGTGGCGTTTTTGGGGCGTATACTCACAACGCACCCCAAGGTGCGTTGTGAGTATACGCCCCGGCAAGATCGGCAACATGTCTCTTGTTGGGTGTCCTGCCTGTAATTGTGGCTCCATGGTGGGTGGAGGGCCCATTCGTGAATGAACGTCTTTCCTCTCGTCTCTGTCGAAATCTGTTCTTATTCATTCTCACGCTCGTGGGGTGGGCGACCAAGCTCACGATTTGGACTGTATTGGAAGACCGGGCTCAGTGGCTCACGCTGCATTGGGCCCCAACCATGCTCCTCCTTTGGCCCTCCTGACTACTCCCCTCAGCTCCCCTCCCTCCTCAGTGGTTGGGTCGAGCTACAAGCCCCCAGTGGTGACCACTTCATCCCCTGGTGCAACTCAGTCTCTCTTTGTGACTACTACGCTTTTTAACCCCTCTCTTTCTCTGGGGGTTCTCAAAGCTGTCCTCGCCACAGCCGCATTCGCACGATCCCTTCCCATACATATGCGTACCACGCCATGTACGGTCCCGCTTCGTGGGCCAAATACATTGATCTCTTCCCTCTCGATTCTTCACCTCCTGACGATTTCTCCCTCCATAGGCACCTTGTTGATTCCGACGATGCCTGTGTTACTTTCAACCTCTCCCGTCTTGGTACAAGTGTCGTTGCTACTCTTTCTCAGGATTCAGCTACCTGCTTGGCCACCTTATCCTGCCTTGGCGAGACCCCTGTTTGGGTCTCCAAGAATGCACGATTGAATGCCAGTGTTGGCACTGTTCTCCTCCCACCCCATATTGCGACCTGTGTTAGGAATCCACAAGCCGGTCACGAAGATATTCGGCATATTCTCGAAGCCCAGGGCCATTCTGTCCTCCAGGTAGACACGTTTACTCGTCCCCCCTCGTGGCCGTCGCCGTCTGCCCCTTCGGGTTGAGAAGATTACCTTTGATGGTTGGCCCCTTCTGCCCTCTGTCATTCTTTCTTGTGTCAGGTGCTCCGTCCAGGAGTACATTCCCCTCTCCTCGATTCTATAATAAGTGCTGGAGGTTTGGGCATGGTGCCCTTCAATGCTCCGGTACTGACTGTCTCTGTCCCATGTGTGGGGGAGAAGGTCACTCTAAGTCGGAGTACACTTCTCCCTAGGCTCGCGCCTCAATTGCGGTGAGGCCCACCCTACCTTCTCCCATGCGTGTATACATTACAAGCTTCAGGCAGCCGTCCTCAACTTGAAGCACTGGGAACGTTTGTCTTTTCCTGAGGCGAGGCGCCAAGTTCGCCGTCTCCCAGCTTACAGTAATATCTCTTATGCTCGTGTGTTGTGCACTTCCTCTCCTTGTCCTTTCCACCTTCCTCAGTCTCAACAGTTTCCAGGCCTTAGACTCAAACACGCCCACCGCCGCCTCCTCTGTTCCTTTGAATTCTGTCCCGATGGGTAACCCTCATGGTTATCTGTCTGGGGTTTCCTAGTCTGTCATGTCTCCTGTGTCTTTTTCCTCGTCTCCCTCCAATCCTCCTTCCCATCCTTCTCCTCCGTCTGTTGGCTTTCCATGCCGCCTGTCAGTGCGGGCTAATGTCCATCGTTCTCCCAATGACCATCGTGTTTGCTCTCGTTCTGCTCTTCTGTTGGTATGGTTGAATCTGTTGCCCAGTACATTGTTGCAGGGACGCCTGTCTCTTTGAGTCTGAAGGTTAAGCCTGGCTCCTCTCCTTCCTCCTCCCCGGCTGGGGTAAGAAGGCTTCGCTTTCTTCCTCGCCCCTACCTCTGACTCTCTCGCTCCATCCCCTTCCGTTTCGGTGGTTGCGCCCCCTGTTCCTGCTATGGAGGTTTCTTTGGCTCCAGCTTCTCTCGCGGTTGCTGCCCTTGCTGAGGTGCACTCCCTAGTTTCTGCCCCTCCTGCTGCTGTCCTTGATCCTTGGTTGTCCCCCCTCCCCCCTCCTCCTACTCCTTCTCCGGACCCTGCTCGTCCGCCCCTGATCGGTCCTCCAGCTACCTTCCCTCCTTCTTTACTCAGATTACCTATGCCCCCTAACCCTGACTTCGCCGACCTTTGTTTCTTTGTTGTTCTCTGTTGCTGTCCTTTCTCTTCATGTTGATGACCATTCTTCAGTGGAACATTCGTGGATATTACACCAATTTCCTTGAATTCCAACTTCTGATTTCACAGTTTTCGCCCCTTTGTATCTGTCTCCAGGAGCCGATGCTTGGTGCTCATACTGGTGGCTTCCGTGGCTATTCCTTTCTCTCCCCTCTTCCCCGCTTTTGCTGGGGCTCCTAGCTCTTCTGTCTTCTGGTCTCTTGATTCTCTCTGATGTTCCCTTCGTCCCCTTACTTTTTCCGTCCCCTCTCCAATGTTCTGCTGCCCGTATCTTTGTGAGGAAATGGTACACGGTTTGTTACATTTATCTCCCCCCGAGTGTCCCACTTTCTCTTCCGAATCTTAAACACCTACTTGACTCCTTGCCGGAGCCTGTGCTCCTTCTGGGTGATTTCAATTGTTGACATACCCTTTGGGGTGATGTTCTGACAAACACCCGGGGTCGCCTTCTTGAACCGTTCATCCTTTCTTCTTCCCTGTCTCTTCTGAATTCTGGTGAGCCCACTCATTTGGTCTCAGACTCGCAAGCCTTTCCATGTACTGTGGTATTGCCACAGTACATGGCAATACATAAAGTATGTTATATACAGTAATGCATAGAATTCAATAATAGATACATATAATCATATTTCATGAAACATAATATTAGGCTATTCTGCCTTATTTTATGCTACCGTATGATCACATCATACACCAACCATACTTGGTGTATGTGAGGTCATAACATGGGTGACTGAACTCTGGCGATTGCTCTCATCCATATTTTTGTTGGAAGTTAGAATCTCACATCTGGCACTTAACGTGGTAGCTTTTGTTCAGCACTTCTGGCTCAACTGAAATATGCTCTCACAACTGGCACCCAACATCGGACCTGTGGGAAATTTTCGGTTCCATAAATATACTTCCAGTGAAATGTGAAATGTACTCTCACAGTGGCAGTGAAGTGATTTGCACTATGCTGACTAGTAATGTGGTGACTGGCATTGACGTGTCTGAAAGTATGGTGACTGGTAATGTGGCAACTGTGAAGTATGATGAGTGGTAGTTTATAGCGACTTGTAGTGTAGAGACTGGTAGCGTGTTAGCTAGTAGTGAAGTAACTACAAGTGCAGCGAGTTTTTGTGTACTCACGTAGTTGTGCTTGCGAGGGTTGAGCTTCGGCCCTTTTGTCTCGCCTCTTAACTATCAATCAACTGGTGTACAGATTCTTGAGCCTATTGGACTTTATCACATCTACATTTGAAACTGTGTTTGGAGTCTGCCTCCTCAACATCACTTCCTAATGCATTCAACCTGTTAACTACTCTGACACTGAAAAGATGCTTCCTAAAGTCTCTGTGAATCATTTGGGTTCTAAGTTTCCAGCTGTGTTTCCTTGTTCGTGTTCCACCCATGCTAAACTGTTTATCTTTATTTACCATGTCAATTCCTCTGAGAAGTGTATAGGTAGTGATCATGTCACCCCTATCTCTTCTGTCTTCCAGTGTCGTGAAGTTTAGTTCCACTAATCTTTCCTCGTAGCTTATACCTCTCAGCTCAGGGAGTAGCACCAGACCTGTCCCCTGAAACCCACATCAAAGGGATAATATCAACAGCATATGCAAGGCTGGCAAACATAAGAACTACCTTCAGAAGCTTGTGTAAGATATCATTCAGAACTTTGTATTCCTTATATGTCCAAACAATACTGGAGTATGCGGCTCCAGCATGGAGTCCACATCCAGTCAAACACAAAACGAAGTTAGAAAAGGTTCAGAGGTATGCCAACAGGCTACTCTCTGAGAATTGTATAGGTAGTGATCATGTCTCCCCTATCTCTTCTGTCTTCCAGTGTTATGAGGTTTAGTTCCACTAATCTTTCCTCGTAGCTTATACCTCTCAGCTCAGGGAGTAGCCTGTTGGCATACCTCTGAACCTTTTCTAACTTCGTTTTGTGTTTGACTGGAAGTGGACTCCACGCTGGAGCCGCATACTCCAGTAATGTTTGGACATATGAGGAATACAAGGTTCTGAATGATACCTTACACAAGTTTCTGAAGGTAGTTCTTATGTTTGCCAGCCTTGCATATACTGTTGATATTATCCCTTTGATGTGGGTTTCAGGGGACAGGTCTGGTGTGATATCAACCCCCAGTTTTTCACTCTTCCGAACTCCTGAAGGATTTCCTCTCCCAGTTGGCACTTATGTTTGGCCTTCTGCTTCCTACGCCTGTTTTATTCACTGTGAACTTGCTCGAGTTAAACTCTAGTAATCCTTTATTGGACGATTCCTTCAGGCTGTCCAAGTCATCCTGTAGCCTCTTGGTGTTTTCCTCTTAATCATTCTTATAATTTTGCCATCATCAGCAAACATTGAGAGGAATGAGTGTTTAGATTGCTCTGAACGCGTCATGATTTAGGTTTTTAAACGACGTTCTAATGTTGGCCAGCGTCCCATATTCTGCCGACGTCACCCTGCCAATGTGTGCCTCTGGTGTTAGGGATGGAATTATATCCAATCCAAAATCTCTTTCTCAGATTCCGGCAGTTGTCTTCCATTAATGGTATATGCACCTTCTGGTCTTCTTTGTCCCTTCCCCACCTTCATTACCTAACACTCCAATAACCATTTGCTTCTCCACTCTTCGAGTTTGTTAAGGTCATTCTGTAACATTCTGCAGTCCTCCTCTGTTTTTACATTCCTCTTTATTCTGGCATCGCCCACAAACATTGACATGTACGAACTCACTCCTTCGAGTAAATCATTAACATAAATTATGAACAGTAGTGGTTCCCAGGACTGATCCTGGTGGGACGGATCTTATTGCATTCCTCCACTGGATACCTCGTCTCTTACTGTGAGTGTTTGTCCTATGCCTTTCAGCTATTCCCTTACAAAGTTTAATATCGTTGTCCAACTTGCTTCTCTATCATGTACACTAGCCTTTCATGAAGAACAGTATCATGCCTTTTGACAATCTTTGAAAATTATATCTATCCAACCTTCTTTTTCTTGTCGTATTCTAGTGACCTTGTCATAAAACTCGATCAAGTTTGCCAGACATGACTTTTTCATTTCAAAATCCATGATGCCGTTCTGTTGCAAAGTTTGTCTTATTCTAGATGTTTCACTTTTCTCCACATGATTACTCTCTCTAGCACTTTACAAGGAATATTTGTCAGTGACACTGGTCTGTAATTGAGTGGCTCTTTTCTGTCCGTTTTCTTGAAAACTGGGACTACATTTGCCTTTTTCCATAATTCTGGAAGAATTATTGTTTCGAGTGTTTTATTAAAAACCTTAGTGAGTGACATATCACCTGTGCAGCCTCCTTCAGTAGCCATGGTGATATGTTAAGTTTGGCCCAATTGATTTTGTTGTATCTAGTTCATTCAAGTGTTTTTTAACCTCTTTGACTATGATTCCTCTGTCATCCAGTGCTTCCTCTAGCCTTTCATCGCTCAGCTCTGGTCTCCACATTAGTTCCATTGGTAAGACCTCTTGAAATATTTTGTTTAGTTCCTCACACACCTCCTTGTTATTTTCCATAAGATTTCCCCTTACCTCTTTAGCTTTATCACCTGGTCTCATGGAGAGTGCTAATCTCCTTGCCTAATTACATGTATAAATACCCACCTAGCTACTGTTCATATGGTTAAACCAGGGCGTATATGTTGCATTGAAATAAATATATAAACTGTTTTTTCTCCCTATATGGCAATACAAGAGCTTCATTTGGTTCTTAACTTTTGTTGCTATGTCATTTTCAAATTGTGTCTCGGCTTCCCTCCTTACTTTAGTGTAATCATGTCTGGCTCTCTTAAGTGCGTCTCTATTTTTCTCTGATCTTAGTTCTCTGTACTTTTTCCATGCTTTTTTGGTCCTCTCTGCTTCTCTGTACTGCCTATCGAACCAGGGGTTTACTTTGCCTTTTCATCTACCTTCTTCTTGAGTGGGATGTACAGCTCCGTTGCATCTGCATATTTTTTAGTAATAATTTTCATCATTTCATTTGTCTTCTCTTTCAGTTCTCTCCCCTGCTGGATTTCACACAAAAAATCCCTCATCTTACTGCAGTCTCCACGTCTGTAGTTTCTCGCATTCCTTAGCGTGTTTGTTGGTCTATTTAGTTCCTTTAGCACCATTATGTACTGAAGCACGCTATCACAGTAGTCACTAGCCCCTCGGGGTATCTCAAACTCTATCTTCTCCACACATGCCTCATTTTGGGTAAACACCTAGTCTAGACGAGACTACCTTTACTCCTGTTGGTTCTGTAATATGTTGTTTCATGAAGTGCTTATCTGCTGAATCTACCAATTTTGCTATCTATGCCTCATCACCTCTTTTTTTTTTTTTTTACTTAACTCACTCTATTTTTCTGTGATTAAAATTATTAGCAGTCTGGCTCTCGCTTACCTTGACACTTCAAAACCCCCGAAGGTCTCATTACATTTATTATATTATTCCTAGGCCACTGTTGTTTAGTGGGCAATTGTAAATCACGGCTACTGCTATGTTTATAACCCCAAATGTTACTATTCTAGTACGTACTCTTGCTGATCAGATTCCTCTGACACTTACACTTCCTCAAAGTTCCAGAGTAGTTTTAGCAGTAGGACTACACTACCTACTCCCCTTCTTACCCAATCTTTGCTTATTACTTGATATCCATGACAGAAGATTTCATTCCCTATAACACTCGTTAGTTTCGTTTTTGTTATTACAACAATATGTGATAGCTCTTCAATCGCTCTTTCTTGCAACTCTACCCGTTTATTTGTTATTTTATCTGCATTTGTGTATACGACCTTAATACTTCTCATCTCCACTGGGCTGTTGTGGTCTCTCCCAATGTGGACTCTTTCTAGTTCCATGGCCAATTCTGATAGGAGAGGGGATGTTTGGTGTGTAGTATAGAGGGTTATATTGTTGGTCGTGTGTGTGTGTAGATTGATATATTGCTGGTCGAGTGTGGTGTAGATAGTTACATTGGTGGTCGTGCAAAATGTAGTTGGTATATAATGATAAATGTTGTGTGTAGTGTCGATGGTTACATTGTTGGTAGTGAGAAGTGCAGATGGTTTACAGCGATGAAGGTTGTGTGTACTGCAGACAGTTAAATTCTTGGTCGTCTGGAGTATAGATGGTTATAGTGATGAAGGTCAAAGGTAGAGTAGATGGTTACTATGATGAAGGTCGTGTGTTGAGTAGAAGTTACAATAATGGCCGCGTGTAGTGTAGATGGTTACAATGATAGTCCTGTGTAGTGTGAATGGTTACAATGATGACTGTGTAGTTCAGATGGTTATAATGATAACAGTGTGTAGTGTAGATAGTTACAATGATTGCCGTATGTAGTATACAAGGTTACAATATTTGCCGTGTGTATTATGGATGGTTACAATGATAGCCAAATGTAGTGTTGATCGTTACAATGATAGCCATGTAGTGTTGATGGTTACAATGATAGCCATGTGTAGTGTTGATGGTTACAATGATAGCAATGTGTAGTGTTGATGGTTACAATGATAACAATGTGTAGTGTTGATGGTTACAATGATGGCCATGTGTAGTGTTGATGTTTACAATGATGGCCTTGTGTAGTGTTGATGTTTACAATGATGGCCATGTGTAGTGTTGATGTTTACAATGATGGCCATGTGTAGTGCTGATGTTTACAATGATAGCCGTGTAAGGTATTGGTTACAAGGATTGCCGTGTGTAATGTGGATGGTTACAATGATGGCCGTGTGTAGTGCAATTACAATGATGGCCGTGTAAGGTGTTGATGGTTACTATGATTACCGTGTGTAGTATTGATGGTTTCAATGATTGTGGTGCGTAGTGTTGATGGTTACAATGACTGCCGTATGTAGTGTGGATGGTTACAATGATGGCCGCGTGTAGTGTGGATGGTTACAATGATGTCCGTGTGTAGTGTTTATAGTTACAAAGATTGTCGTGTGTAGTGTAGATGGTTACAATGATTACCGTGTGTAGTGTAAATGGTTACAATGATGACCGTGTGTAGTGTAGATGGTTACAATGATTACCGTGTGTAGTGTGGACGCTTACAATGATTGTCTTGTGTAGTATAGATGGTTACAATGGTGAACGTCGTGTGTAGTGTAGAAGGGGCCTCCGTCTACACCCGAACCACACCAGGTGTTCAAATCAGAGCTTTCTATATCATTACAGAGGCGGTGACGGAGTGCGGCCCCGAAGAGTTCTTGTGTGCGAGTGGGCGTCAGTGTATCCCCATGGCGGACAACTGTATAGTGCCCACTGACCGCCACCACGGGTGTGCTGATGGCTCCCACCTGCACCACTGTAGTAAGTACCGTGTACATCATGGGTGTGTTGATGGCTCCCACCTGCACCACTGTAGTAAGTACCGTGTACATCATGGGTGTGTTGATGGCTTCCACCTGCTCCACTGTTGTTAGTACCAAGTACGTCACGGGTGTGCTGATGGCTCCCACCTGCACCACTGTAGTAAGTACCGTGTACGTCACGGGTGTGTTGATGGCTCCCACCAGCTCCACTGTAGTAAGTACCGTGTACATCATGGGTGTGTTGATGGCTCCCACCTGCACCACTGTAGTAAGTACCGTGTACATCATGGGTGTGTTGATGGCTCCCACCTGCACCACTGTAGTAAGTACCGTGTACATCATGGGTGTGTTGATGGCTCCCACCTGCACCACTGTAGTAAGTACCGTGTACGTCACGGGTGTGTTGATGGCTCCCACCAGCTCCACTGTAGCAAGTACCGTGTACGTCATGGGTGTGTTGATAGCTCCCACCTGCTCCGCTGAAGTAAATACCAGAGCACGTAGTGTAGGGGAGGGAGTGGCAGAGCCAGAGCACGTAGTGCAGAGAAGGGAGGAAGCAGCTCTCAAGGACAGGAGTACACATGGACCCTAGCTACCACTGACGGCCCCTCTCTCCCTGTCCGGCCCGTTGCTGCCGTGAGGGGGCTTGGTGGGCAGCTACCGGAGTGTGATGCTCCATGAGACAGTCCTCTGTCCTTTTGTGGCCTTCTGGTCCTGCTGCTGTCCTCTCGAATTCTGCTGGTGAATTTTCCTTTTCCTTATGTTTTTGTTTCGTTTTCACCCCCCCCCCATCTTCTCCTTTCTAATTGTCATTTCCCACCGACCTTTTGCATGTTTTGATTATTCTTTCGGCATTCTATTTATTTTGACGCCCGGGTGTTTGAGGAGGCATACTCTTGCACCCATAGGACTGTCGTACTTGATGTCGCGAGCGAGGAGACACTTTTATTGTCAATCCTCCTTTCGTCACTGAATCCGATCTCGACGGATTGACGGTTCTTAAAATGGCATTTGTGGGGCGTATACTCATGTTGCACACCTAGTGGGCCCTGGCAAGATCAGCAACATGTCTCTTGTTGGGTGTCCTATCCTCTAATTGTGGCTCCGTGGTGGGTGTGGGGGCACATTCGTGAATTAAAGTTTTTCCTCTCGTTTTTATGTCACATTCTGTTTCTCCTGTACCTTCTCAGGCTCTTAGGGTGGGCGACCATGACCCCAAGTCGGACTGAGTTGGAAGATCGAGCTCTGTAGCCCCCGCTGCATTGGGCCTCGACCTTGCTCCTCCTTTGACCCTCCTAACTAATCCCCTTGGCTCACCTCTCACCTCTGTGCTTGGGTCGTACCACAAACCCCCAGTGGTGACCACCTCGTCCCCTGTCACATTGTGACTACTGTGCATTTTAACCCCTCTCTATATGGGGGCTCTAAACGACGCCCATACTACAGCCGCACTCGCTCGATCCCTTCCCATACTAATGCGTACCAAGCCTTGTTTGGTCCCGCTTTGTGGGCCAAGTACTTTGATCATCTTCGTCTGGATTCTACACCTCCTGATGATTTCTCCCTCCATAGGCACCTTGTTGATTCAGTAGATGCCTTTGTTACTTTCAACCCCCACCCATCTCAGTACACGTCTCGTTGCTGCTGCTTCTCAGGATACAGCCACCTGCTTGGCCGGCATATCCTGCCATGGCGAGACCCATCTTAGGGTCTCCAAGAATGCTCAGTTGAATGCCAGTCTTGGCACTGTTCACCCCCCACCCCATGTTGCAACTGGTATTAGGAATCTACAGGGCTGCCACGAAGATATTCGGCATATCCTCGAAGCCCAGGGCCTTTCTGTCCTCCAGGTAGACTCGTTTACTCGTCCCCCACGTGGTCGTCGCTTTCAACCCCTTCGGATTGTGAAGATTACCTTTGATGGTAGGACCCTTCCGCCCTCTGTCATTCTTGCTGGTGCCAGGTGCTCCGTCTAGGAGTACATTCCCTCTCCTAGGCTCTATAATAAGTGCTGGAGGTTTGGGCATGGTGCCCTCTTGTGCTCCAGTACTGTCTCTCTCTGTCCCTTGTGTGGGGACAAAGGTCACTCTAAGTCAGAGTGCACTTCTCCCCGAGCTCCCTGCTTCAATTGAGGTGAGGCCGACCCTACCTTCTCAAGCGTGTGTGTACATTACAAACTAGAGGACCGTCTTTATACAGTCCTCACCTTGAAGCACTAGGAACGTTTGTCTTTTCCTAAGGCGAGGCGCCAAGTTCGCTATCTTCCCCCTTTTGCTGGTGTCTCTTATGCTCATGTGTTGTGATCTTCCTCTCCTCGTCCTTTCCACCTTCCTCAGTTTCACAACCGTTTCCAGGCCTTAGACCCAGACACGCTCACCGCCTCTTCCTCTGTACCTCTACATTCTGTCCTGAAGGGTCCCCCTCATGGTTCTCTGTCTGGGGTTCCCCTTCTTTCTACCCCGTCAGCCTTGTCTCCTGTATCTTCTTCCTCGTTTCCCTCCAATCCTCCTTCCCATCCTTTTCCTCAGTGTCTTAGCTCTCCACGCCGCCTGTCTGTGCAGACTGATTTCCATCACTCTCCCAGCGGACATCGTGACGTTTGCTTTCGTTCTTCTTCTCCTGTTTAGATGCTTGAATCAATGCCCAGGACACTGTTGCTGGGACGCCCGTCTCTTCGAGTCAGAAGCGAAAATCTGGCTCATCTGCTTCCTCCTCCCCGGCGGGTAAGAAGGCTTTGCTTTCTTCCTCGCCCCCTACCTCTGACTCGCGCTCCATCTCCTCCCGTTTTGGTGGGTGCACCCCCCTGTTCCTGCTATGGAGGTTTCTTTGGCCCCCCGCTTCCCTCTCGGTTGCTGACCTTGCCCCTCCTGTTCCTGTCCTTGACCCTCGGTTTTCCCCTCCTTCTCCTCCTCTTCCGCCTCCTCCGGACCCTGCTCGTCTGCCTCTGGTCGGTCCTCTCGCTCCCTTCGCTCCATCCTTACTAAGTTTATCCATGCCTCTTAACCCTGACTTTGCTGATCCTGATCCTATGCTTCTTTAACGTGCTGTGTACCTTTTTCACCTTTGTTTCTCAATGTCTCTGTTGCTGTCCTTTCTCTTCTTGTCGATGTCAATTCTTCAGTGGAATATTCGCGTATATCACGCCAATTTTCATGAATTCCCATTTCTGATTACACAGTTTCACCTCTTTGTGTTTGTCTCGAAGAGCCGATGCTTGGTGCTCGTCCTGGTCGCTTCCATGGCTATTCCTTTCTCTCCCCACCCCCCCACCCCCACCTCCCACGGCTTTTGCTGGGGCCCGTTTCAATTTAGCTCTCTTGATTCGTTCTGATGTTCCCTTCGTCCCCCTACTTTTTCCGTCGCCTCTCCAATGTTCTGCTTCACATGTCATTGTGTGTAAATGGTACACGGTTTGTTCCATTTATCCCCCCCCCCCCCAAATGTCCCACTTTCTCTTCCCAATCTTAAACACCTACTGGACTCCTTGCCAGAGCCTGTGCTCCTGCTGGGTGATTTCAGTTGTCGGCATACCCTCTGGGGTGATGTTCTGACAAACACCCAGGGTTGCCTTCTCAAACCGTTCGTCCTCTCTTCTTCCCTGTCTCTTCTGAATTCTAGTGAGCCCACTCATTTGGACTCTCGGACTCGCACCCTTTCCTGTCTTGATCTTTCTTCTGTTCATCGTCTCTTTATTTGGATTTTATGTGGTGAGTTCTTGATGACCTCCATGGCAGTGACCATTTCCCCATCCTTGTTACATTTTTCTCTTTTCACCTCTCCTTTCCTAGATGGATGTTTGCTAATTCAGACTGGAACCTATTTACCCTTCGTGCTGCTCTCTCTGACCTCTCCGTTCTGCCTCTCCCTCGCGCCCTCCTCCTTTTTCATGACACCATCTTCGACGCTGCCCTCCACTGTATTCCTCGCTCTTCCTCTCGGGGACCACGGAAGTGCGTTCCCTTGTGGAATGTGGACGGTGCTCAGACGATGCTCGGGCAGTCCGTTGTAAGCGTTTAGCCTTGAAAAGACACCGCCGCCGGCAGACGGCTGATTCTTTTCTTTTGTTTCGGAAGGCGAGTGCAGTGGCCTGTAGGGCCATCCGTATAGTTAAGCATGAGTGTTGGAAGTCTTATGTTTCCACCATTACGTCCGAAACACCTCTGCCATAGATCTGGAAGCGTGTCTGCAAGATAGCAGGTAAGTTCGTTCCCGATGTCTCGCTGGTCCTTCACCTCCGTGGTACTCTTGTGGCGGACCCGTTGCAGGTCGCGACCGAACTCGGTTCCCACTTTTCTTCTCTTAGCTCTGGTTTTCATCTTCCCCAATCTTCCCTCCTTCTTAAACCAGTCCTTGAATGTCATCCTTTAGATTTCTGCACTCATCTCAGCCTTCCTTATAACGATCTCTTCTCTCTCTCTGAACTTCAGTCTGCCCTGGCCCTCTGCGGTTCTACAGAAGCGGGCTCTGATGGCATTCATTATGAGATGCTTTGCCATCTCCCTCCGTGCACGTCTCAGTATTTACTGTGTCAATATAATCAGGTCTGGGAGTCGTCGTCAGTCCCTGAGGATTGGCTCGATGCCGTTGTTCACCGTGTTCATAAACCAGGGTCTCATGGGACATCCCCTAAGGACTTCCGCCCTATTGCCCTTACGTGTTGTTTCTGCAAACTCTCTGAACGTATGGTAACGTTCGTCTGATGTGGTTCTTAGAAAACTATCAACACCTCTTCCCTTTTTAATTTGGTTTTCGTCAGTGCCGCAGATCAACAGATGTCCTGGTGAACTTCGAGGTCTCTATTTGTACTGGTTTTGCTGTGAAGACCTCCGTTGCTGTCTTTTTGACCTGGAATAGGCTTACAACACCACTTGGCGATATCATATTCCGTCCCAACTTTATTCTTTTGGTCTTCGTGGTAATCTCCCTCTCTTTATCCAGAGCTTCCTCTCTGGTCATTCCTTTCGAGTGAGACTTGGTATCTCTCTCTCTGCCTCTTTT